TATTGTCTAAACAATAAGGAAACCGATTTTCTAATACTCATTAGAAAAGTTACCTTCGAGTGTTGAAATGTTATTAGAAAAAAATTTTAACAAATCTATAACACCACAGATGTGGTGTACTGAAATGGAGTTTTATTTACTGGTTGGAGTTTTATTTCTGATCAAAAATCATCATTTAAAGTGGCATCAATGTTTGTTGAACAAATGTTCTCTACTCACAGAATGCTCAACTCCAAATCGACAAATTGTTGATAAATCTTAAACTTGTCGATACAACTAAACATTAACGAAACTAATTCCACCATATTCACTAGAAAGTGTATAATTTATGTGTATAATAGAATATATTAAGAGAGAAAAAAAAAATTACAACAATTATGTATCAGTGCAGTAAAACTTGGTATTGCTTAGATTATCGTAAACAATAGACTTTCTTTTTAGTGATTCGTAGATTCTTGTTTCTGTTCAGAAACAATCTGCTCAATTGTCATCAAAAAATACCAAATATAAAATGTAAAAAAAATCTGGATATTCTTGCCTCGCAGAATGGGTAAACCAAATCAAATATGTAACAAAGTTTAGCTAAATATGCTGATTTTAAAGAACTTTATATAAAAATATTTGGCGAGATAAATACAGTATTACTTAGATTACTGCAAACAATAAGAAAATAGAACAATAGACTTTCTTGTTAGTGATTCGTAGATTCTTGTTTCTGTTCAGAAACATTCTGCTCAATTGTCATCAAAATATACCTAATATAAATTGTAAAAAAAAAACGGATATTCTTACCTCGCAAAATGGGTAAACCAAATCAAATATGTTACAAAATTTAGTTAAATATGCTGACTTTAAGGAACTTTATATAAAATATTTGGCGAGATAAATACAGTATTGCTGAGATTATTGTAAACAATAAGAAAATAGAACAATAGACTTTCTTTTTAATGATTCGTAGATTCTTGTTTCTGTTCAGAAACAATCTGCTCAAATGTCATCAAAATATACCAAATATAAAATGCGAAAAAAAAAAAAATCTGGATATTCTTGCCTCGCAGAATGGGTAAACCATATCAAATATGTAACAAAGTTTAGCTAAATATGCTGATTTTAAAGAACTTTATATAAAAATATTTGGCGAGATAAATACAGTATTGCTGAGATTATTGTAAACAATAAGAAAATAGAACAGTAGACTTTCTTTTTAGTGATTCGTAGATTCTTGTTTCTGTTCAGAAACAATCTGCTCAATTGTCATCAAAATATACCTAATATAAATTGTGGGAAAAAACAGCATTTTCTTACTTCGCAGAATGGGTAAACCGAATCAAATATATAACAAAATTTTGCTAAATATGCTGACTTTAAAAAACTTTGTATAAAAATATTTGGCGAGATAAATACAGTATTGCTGAGATTATTGTAAACAATAAGAATATAGAACAATAGACTTTCTTTTTAGTGATTCGTAGATTCTTGTTTCTGTTCAGAAACAATCTGCTCAATTGTCATCAAAATATACTTAATTGTAAAAAAAAACGGATATTCTTGCCTCGCAGAATGGGTTAACCAAATCAAATATGTAACAAAATTTTGCTAAATATGCTGACTGTAAAAAACTTTATATAAAAATATTTGGCGAAATAAATTCAGTATTGCTGAGATTATTGTAAACAATAAGAAAATAGAACAATAGACTTTCTTGTTTCTGTTCAGAAACAATCTGCTCAATTGTCATCAAAATATACCTAATTGTAAAAAAAAAAACGGATATTCTTGCCTCGCAGAATGGGTTAACCAAATCAAATATGTAACAAAATTTTGCTAAATATGCTGACTGTAAAACACTTTATATAAAAATATTTGGCGAAATAAATTCAGTATTGCTGAGATTATTGTAAACAATAAGAAAATAGAACAATAGACTTTGTTGTTTCTGTTCAGAAACAATCTGCTCAATTGTCATCAAAATATACCTAATATAAATTGTGAAAAAGAAACAGGATATTCTTACTTCGCAGAATGGGTAAACCAAATCAAATAACTAACATTAAAGAAGAAAAAAAATGGAGACAAGTGGATGAAAAGATTTCGGTTTTAGTGGACGAAAGAAAAATCGCATTCCTTCATCTCATTTAGATTTTTTTTCCTCTCTCTCTCTTATTTTGCGTTCTCTTGTAGTCGTCTTGGTTGAATGTCTGAGGGACATTTCCCAGAATACGGTTTTGTCCATGAAATGTATTGTCGGTTTAGCTGACAAGAGTGAAATGAACAAGTTGTTCTCACTGTTTATATACTTGTATCAGATTCAATGGTGTCTCTTTCTTTCTTTCTTTTGTAGCTGTAACCGAATTTCAGATGTTTCCTATTCTTATCACATGGAATTGAAAAAGATAACATGAAATGTATGTTTCCTACATCTATTGGATAAGTAACGATACGAATGTGTGGTTATATAGATACATGTTTGTACACAATTTTAAGCATCATTTGCCAGCAAACTTTTTATTATTACATTTAATACTAGCTGAATATTTGTTCTTCGTAAGGGGGCGGGGTATTAATAATTAATAAAATTGGTTTTAATCCCCCCCATGAAATTATGTGCTAAACTGGAAGGCATATACCCCACGCAATTAAAGTAATTTAAAATTATTTTAGTTTTTTTTTTACTTATTTTTATTTCCTACCCTTTCCGGGGACTTTATGCTATTAGATTAATCAAAACACGTTATTTAAATGTTCATCCCATTGAAATAATGATATTCAGTATTATTTGGCATGATGCTCACCAGTAAAGTTCTGATAGTTAAAAATTACTCAATCAAGAACAGAGATGCCAACTGCTCCGGACAAACCAAAATAATTAATAAAACGGTAGATAACTACAAAGTAAATTTTGCAAATATTTGACTATTTTTGCTTGCTTTTTAAAAGGTATAGCATGGCATACGTACTACAAAGCGGTGAATTACATAAGCCTGCGAATTATTTAGAAATAGTGGTGGATAAAAGTCTACTAAATTGAATTTATTAAACCAAGAATCACAACTGATAAACTACCACTTTAAAATATATATTTGCTGTCCGGAGCAAGTTGGCATCTCTGCAAGAATGGTACTATCGGTGAACCAAAAAAGTGTACATGTTACAGTGAATGAACGAAATCGGTTGTTGTTGACTTTCAGTGAATCTTGACTTCGGTGAATGTTGACTACCACATAGTCGCTTGGGTAAATGCTCGAAATATATACTAGGTCTAGTTAAGTGCCACTGCCCGGTATGCATTTAACCGGTGCTCCGGACGTTGATGTTTCTCCTAATCTATCTTCAGCAGATATTAAAATATCGAATAAATATAATAATATCAAGAAATAAATTAATATCCAATCGGATAAAACAAATATTTCGGACATTCACCAAAGCGACTATGTGATTGTTGACATTCACCGGTGAAGGTTGACCTTCTCTTGATTTCGGTCCTTCACGGTAACATATACAGTTTAATGCTGATGTTGAACTAACGATAAAATTCCTCGTCTTTCCTTAACTGAATTTTAAAAAATTTTAATGATCGAAGGATAATATTAACCCTTGCAACCTCTGCTGAAATTTCAGGTGGGTGTTTCAAAGGGTTCTGGAAGAGACGCTCTCCAAACATTCAAACTCTTCGTTTAAATATTAAAGGTTTTTCAATTCTTTTCGCATATTCAGACTACCAAAGTAAACATTTTTTTAAACTAAACATTTGAAATGAATCTATTATTTTTATTAAAGAACAATGATGTCTTTTAATGAATTTAATTAATTGAAATTAATATATTTAAAGGAAATTTCAGAAAATGTTCGATACCCTACCCTTTATGTAAGTACTTTAAAGTATAAACATCTCGAACTTGAAAGGTTTTCATGAAAATTAATTTTTTATCAGCTTTTAGCAAATAAATCATGTTCTTTAAAAAAAAAGTATACGTGTTAATATTTAATTAGTTTAAAATATAATTTTTTTTTAAAAAAATGTAATATTTGGAAAAGCTCTGAAAGATAAAATTAAGAAAAAATACACAAGATTGCTTCTTTGGGAAAAACACATTCGTTTAGAAAGTTAATTCGTAAAATCATTAATGTTTTTAATGTTAAATAAACTGTTAAATTCTATAAACTTTAGACGTTGTCTTTAGTTCGCATATAAACTACTAAAATTATGCGCATAATTTTTCCTCCTTTGAGTAAAAAATGTTTTGCCATCACTACTTTAAAACACTAATTATGAAAAAAGAAAGGAAAATGAAGAAACAATCGTATTTCATACCATTTGCACTATACATCGTTTAATCTTTCTTCCCTCATGCATATGCATTTTCTATTCAAACATGTTTGTTAAAGCAGAAAATATAAACGAAGTAGAATATCATAAATCTTTTTATCTTAAATCTTAACGAAATCTTTTTAAAAAAATCGTTGACTGCAAGGAACAGTAAAAAAAAAATTACTTTTATTACGCATGTAATATACATTTTTTACAAGTGCTTAAAGGTGCTTATTTTCGATTTTCGTTGGCCCTTAAAGGTGCTTTTTCTATTGGGTGTTTTTAAAAATTGCTTTATTTTCCCTTTTCCAAAATGATATTTTTCCTTTACCATGTAGATTTTTGCAAAAAGACACAGTTCACATTGTTCTATTCAACGTTTTCACAATTAGTTCAACCCCTATCTATTTCGGCGTATTGCCAGTCCGTAGCGTATGAAAACGATTCAAACTTTCGTGATTTTGGACAACTGTCAAAAGCAATGCCTTTTTTTTTGTCATGACGGTTAAAAGCAGAAAAAACTGTCAATTGTCAAAAACTTTCCAACCCTGCCTGACTATGATAATTTTTTAGTGCTTAAAATATTTTTTTGAGTACTTGAAAAGTACATAAAATGTGCTTATTTTTTGTTGAATAATTTGGTTAAGCACCTTTTTTAACATCTTTTGTAATGAATCATTTGTTGTATCAGGTTATATCAGCAGTCCCGGTAAAGCTCCTCTGGGGGGAGGCGATAGCCTCTACCAGAATGTTAGCGGATCTGACACCAAACAGAATGGACCATCTGCACCAGAATCCGAAGGAAACGTCATGTACGAAAACATGCCATTCCACCGTCAGGGGGTAAGGAAATTACACTACCAATTTGTGGTTTGCACATTTTGGCTTGCCAAAGTATTTAATAATGCAGCATGTTTTAATTTGATTGTGTTAACCAAGTTTTAATATATTTTAGGACAATAACTTTAAAATTAATCACGCATTTCCTTAAGAATTCGCTTATTGAAGTAGATTAAATTTGTTGTGTTTAAATTTGGAAACTTGTTAACTGTTCAATTTATTTTTTTAAATTTTTACTATCTTGAAAATTATAATTGCTGAAGATTCTAATTTTAAAGAGTATTTCGCTTTTTTTTATTTTCTGAAAATTTAGTATAGTCGTTTATTTATATATTTATTATTTGATTATTTAAAGTAAGAATTCAGTTTTGTTTATACAGCACAAAAATAATCCAAATTTTATATTTTTTTAAAGTAAAAGTATATTACAAGCCTTGCAAAGCGTCAGACCAATATTTTTTTCATTAAAATTAAATTTTTTTAGCAATAATAATGCTTTTAAAAAAGGAATAGACTGCAATTTTGTTACAATATCGCGAGCGATGTTTAACTAAATTACAATAAAATGCAATTATCTTTTGTAAATTTCTGAAAAGATAAAATTTAAACGAAATTGGTTTTGATATTAACCGTCAACAACTGTCTAATCATATATTTTATATAGATTATTATAATAGATGTTTCATTCGTATCAGCTGTTAAAATTTTATATTATTAAAAACTTTCTAGTTGATAGCAAAAAAATCTATGGATAAATATCATTTTAGAAAAAAGAATGTACAAAGGTGATAAATATTGAAAAACACTTAATATCTCATTTTGCAAACAACATGGAAATCTGAACATTAAATATATTTTTAAAGCTTATGGAACTGCAGAAGTTAACATATCTTCTTTTAACAATTGTAACATTGTTAATTCTTTCTAATAGCTGTAACATAGTTAACACTATCTAACAGTTAACTTCATAAATTATAAAATATTTGATTTAATAAAGTCAAAAATATAATTTCTTCCAAAACTTATGAAATCCATGCATTTTTTTTTAATACTTCATGATGAGTAGTTAGTATATTTTAAAGTATTCTGTATTGAAATTTTACATGTTTCATCCCATATCAATGTGCCCTAGTTATGCAATCCATAATATCCCACAAATGGAATAGTAAATGCATAAATTATTGAATGACGTTAAAACTGTTATACTAGGGAAACTGGTAGTTGGAGCATAAATTTTTTTTCGATCAGCGTTTAAAATACTATTTATAAATATTTATTGCTTGTGTTAGAAGTTTATTCATGACAGATAATGTTAGAAGTGCGTTATATATTGGTATTAAAACTTTAAGTTTATAAGACGTTTTGTATTCACTTAGATTTCAATAACGTGAACAGCCATTTTGACCTAACATTATACACCACACGTTTTCCAAATATTATTTCTAAAGAAACGCATTGAAATATTATATAATGAAGCATTGAGCAAACAGCTATTTTATTTTTTAAAACCTTTAAGCAATATTGTATAACGAAACTTACTTAAAGTGCTTTAAGTCTAAAGGTTTGATTTTTGTTATACTTATACTAGTTTTTCAAATCTTTAAATGGTAGAAGTAGTGAGAATTTAAACTGCCTGACCAATTAATTACCACGCCAAGAAATACAAATTTGTATATTAACCGATTTATGAATTGTGTGTGCTGATAAATAGTCTTCGAGTTGAATGAATAATATGATAAAAAACATTACTAATCGAACATTTCGCGTTCACAAAACGACACTAATAATTTCCAAGACAATTTCGATCGAGTTATCGATAAATTAAGCATGCCTATGATATTCATAAAATTCAAAATTTGTAATTTTATCTGTGAAGTACGGAAAGCACTTCGTGGTTTTTAAAGGATGCTCTGTATAAATACAGAGATGCCAACTGCTCCGGACACGCCAAAATAATTTTAAAAAAAAACGGTAATTAACTACAACGTAAATTTTGCAAATATTTGACAATTTTTGCTCTATTTTCAAAAGGTATAGCATGACGTAAGTACTATAAAGTGGTGAATTATCTAACCCTATGAATTATTTAGAAATAGTGGTGGATAAAAGTCTACTAAATTGAATTTATTAAACCAAGAATCACAATTGGTAAACTAACCACTTTAAAATATATATTTGCTGTCCGGAGCAAGTTGGATGCAATAAAATTTGCAAAATATTGTTTCTGAAACTTAAAACAATAAGATTGCATCAGGACTTAAACTAAAAGGTGAGATTATGGTTCGCAATAAAAGTCAAACCATGTTTGATATTTATTGTTACTTCAAGACTTTAACAAAAAGCGACGTGGTGTAGTAAGAAACAATATGATTGTTTTATTCACGTCAAGACTTGAATGAAAATAAGTTTTTGTGTTTCGTCAGAGCAGAATTTAATATTCAGAATTACCTTAGAACAAAAATGATATGAATTGTATCAGCAAGTCCAAAAATTGTATTTTGAGTTGCATCTAAAATGAAAAAAAAACATACTTCGAGTTACATTGAAACATGAACAAAGATAAGATTTGGAATTTAATCTGGGCATGACACAAAACTAGAATTTAAGTTGCATTTTAGCATATTTATAGTTGCTTGAGGACTTGGAAGTTCCATTAGTTCTGTTTTGTGAACGGGATTCTTTTTCGAACTATAAAAAAAAAATTCCTAACCATAATTTAATGAATGGGATGCATTTAATTAAACTAATCGCATGCATGTTGATGAATGCTTTGTTAGCAGTCTGTGCCTTCCTTCCCAAGTGCCCGCATGAGACAGTCTCTGCCTGCTGATTTTTCACGAGCATACCAGAATGTACTCTACTGCAGACAAGATTGTAAAGAACAACAACAAAGTCCCCAAACCAACACTAAAGTCCAGAGGAGGACTTCAGGGAGCTCCAGCAAAAGAGAGCCCTGTCCCAAACACGGGTCAGGTCCTGATTCCATAGAGTGGGCTGAAGGTCTGTCCCATTCTAGAGAAAATGGAGGTAACTCACAGGTATGCTCATAAAATGAAAATTCGCAATTATTATGCATAAAATTTTACAAACATACGGATAAGGAACTTTTAAATTGCCTAGTGGGTCTCAGGGGTGTTCTGACTCAAACTTTTTAATTTTTTGTTATTTAATTTTATTCTGATTAATTTGACACCAAAACTTTGTTAACAGACCGAAAACTTAGAGGCATTATTTTATTTATTTATTTTTTTTTTAAATTTGTATTTACTGAATCCAACCCATCCATAACTTAATAAAAAAAAATTTCAGAAAAAAAGATTATTTTTTGAAAATAAATTTTTTTTCAAGTTTAAATAGTTAAAAAAAATAAGTACAGGATGCGGCAAAAAAAAAACTTGACGAAAGATTTTTAGTATAAATTTATTAAAAATAAATACATTAACAAATAATAATTAGAGTTGACTTTTACGAGCCTAATTTACTTTAAAAATCAATGCTGCAAACGCTGGAATTTACAGTTTATTATTATTGACGGTATCCGATTTTACTGTAATGAAATGCTCCTAATATTTTTTTAAAAACTGCAAGCGACAAATCTACACCCAGCTATTTCAATAAGAATACTCTTTTCCTATTCCATCAAAATATTAACATGAAACTCGTAGATCAGTAAATTAGATACCCTTTCGGAAGAACCGAACACGCACAGTTGTTTACATGTTTAAATACCCTAAATCTAATAAAAACGAAAAAAATATGTACATATTCGCAACTATAACGCACCTCAAACTCCATTTTTCAATGAAATAAATCGTTCCCAAATCAAATTTACATCCGTGTGATACTGAGCTGCTGAAGTCAGATAAGCTTGTCTCATGTATGGATATCCTTGGCGTGAAAAAAGAATCATGTCATCATGGTCGCGTTCTGAAACGCGATAAGAATTATAAGCTTTTGATTGCTTTTTTTCCCTTTTATTCTTAAGATCTCAATAAATGTCTCTGTGTGTGTTTTATGACTAACTTGCTTTGTGTGACTAATGATATGTATGATGCATGAAATTGTTGTGATGGCATGTTTCAGAAATATCTTAATCCGTCTCCAGTGATATATGTCGATTTGGCATTACCATTCCACCGTGCACAACCAGTAAACAAAGAACTGACCAAATATGCTACGCTCAAGTTCACATCGGAAGCTGCAAAAGGTAGGATACTATACAAGTAGGTTGTATAAATTCACAATCCATAAACTCTTTTAAATCCACCAAAGTATAAAGCTCAAAAATATAAACTAAATTTTTAACACAATACATACTTTTTTTCGTAGATTTTTTTTTCAAGTCTAGGTTTATTCCAAAAAAGTCTCTGGAAAAAAAAGTGCTGTATCGACATTTATACAAACTGACAGCAAAATTACAAAGATAATTCACGGAATATGCTATTCTATATATAGTAATACTGCATAAAATATAAATCAATAAAAATTTCTACATTCGTCATCTTAATTTCTTTGTGCGTGAGTTTTAGAATACCCTGTATGATAGATGTTTACAATAGATGTTTACAATATATATTTAATAAAAACCCTCAATTCTGTATTGGTTTTCGTGGTAAATATACATGGTAAAAAAAAAACCTTACATATTTAACCACTTCGCTTACCAATTATTTCCAAAAAAAATGCAAAAAACATAATTTTTTTATTTTTTATTAATAAATACAAGGAACTAAAACAAAACATAATGTACACGTTTTGAAAAAATTTATCAATTTTAAAATCAGAAGGCTAGTGCGGTTAAATGAGCGAAAACTAAAAAAACGATTGAGGAGTAGAATATTGACCAGGTGTGATGTAGCAACATAACAGAGTTGAAATTTGAATTTTTTTTATGTGTAAGAAACCTTTAATTTAAAATCAACTTACTATCCCGAGTTATTTCGGGCAAATGAAAAAAAAGTTAAATATGAGTCTTTGTATGACAGTTCTTAAAACAAGGGACAACACAAAAGTGATACTTCAACAAACGTCAGTGAAGGAATACGCCTTTTTTTTTTAACTCTTACTGCTGTGTCAATTCAGCAACCATCGTATATTACAATGGCACAAAACACGTGTGCAGTCCAACATCAAAACTCCCAAATAAAACTCGGCAAACTTCCCATCACAGCAGATTATGCTTTCATTCTTCCGACCGAGTAAAAACGTGATAAAACAAAATACACTGACAAATTCTTCTAAGCCCGAGTTTTCTCGGGATGATAAATATTTGCAAAACATACGTACACGAGTTAACTCGGGATAATAAGGGAAGGGGTGCCCTGTGGCTGAGCGGTAGGGCTTCGCGCTGTCGTGCCACAGGTCCCTGGTTCGATCCTCGGGCCGGGTAAGGCTGACTGAGCCTTTCATCCCTTCAGTGGGTCGATAAATGAGTACCAAGCATGCTTGGGAACTAAACACTGGGGGTTCCGCGTTCGGCTGACCACCTGACCGGAACATCTGCTTCTGCACCCCAGAGCCCAAGGTCAAGAAAACTGAGATGGGCACAGTAGGCCTTGGCCCTCTAGGGCTGTCGCGCCGCTGAGTTTAGTTTTAGTTTTATTCAGGGAAGGATGCTTACGATGTACGAATTTGTAATGATTTCTATCGTGGAATATTTCCAGTTTCGAAAATATCTATCCTTTCTTAACGATAAAATAAAGAACAATGTATTCCGAGATGCATTAAAGATTCGTATCATTTTTCCGAAATTACTTTTAATATCAGTAAAGTACATCTGTAAAAAAAAAAAAAAACCTTTCCTTGTTCCCTTTGACAACGAAATAAATTGAGTGTCGTAAAATGTTTTATTTTTATATTTTTAAGTAAAACTATCCTCACAATCGCATAAAAACAAGGCATTCAAAAGTTTTATGGAGATGCTTAACGATACATCCTTTTATAGATCTCTGGAAAAATGAAGGGATTTTTAGTAGGATTGGTTTCTTTAGATAAAAAAGAACTTAAGATATTCCGGAATATTATTTTCCCTTTCATGATTCCCATGACATCTCATTTTTATGAATCATAACATTGTAATTCATTATTTTAAACGTCATCACAATAAATGCAACGATAAGAGTATTGGAAATATAAGGAGACATTTTTAGTTTGAATCATTTTGCACTTTTACAGCCATGTTATTAAACGCACTATAAGATTCTATGTAAAATCTTAATTATCAGGTGATACTATACAGCTTTATTGTTTTTACATAACTGAAACCAGTTTGCACTTGTTTACGCTCCTGTATCAATGGGTTAACATTGTAATGCAATACGTTAAAACTAAATACAAATAGGAAGTATATAAAAAATCTGAATAAAAGCCCATTACATGTATGTTTAAATACTACAAACTCGTGCAAATCATGTCATTATTATAAAACTACAGTGCGTCGAATAATTTGATCTAATTATTACAGTTTAATATTTGATATAATAAATATTCTATATTAATACATCGTCTAGTTTATCGTATCGTTAAATTTATATTATATATCGTCTAATTTAACCCATTGATACTAAACAGCTGTATTGTTTTTAATCTGTTTGCATTTGTTTACGTTCCTGTATTAATTGCTAAACATTGTAATGTAATACGTTCAAAATAAATACAAATAGGAAGTGCTATATAAAAAATCTCCTGAATAAAAACCCATTACATGTATGTTTAACTATAAAAGTATTGCCTATAAACTCGTGCAAAACATGTCATTATTAAAAAACTACAATGCGTCTAATAATTTGGATATTTAATAATATAATACTTCATATAATAAATATTCTATATTCATATAATATATCGTCTAATTTATCGTATCGTTAAATTTATATTATATACCGTCTTATATAACCAATTAATACACTAACGTAAACAAGTGCAAACCGGTTTCAGTCGCGCAAAAACAATAAAGCTGCATAGGATCACCTGATAATTAAGATTTTACATAGAATCTTATAGTGAGTAATAATAATTTAGACAGATAGTGTAATGCTTGAAAACTATTTTTCATCAAAAATTTTAAAAATGCCTTAAACGTATTAAAATTCTAAAATGACTTTGAAATCTGAACAATTTATTTTGTAAAATTTTTTGAGAAATGAATTCATTACTGTATATTTATAAATGATTTTGCTACTACTACTTAAAAACTTAGATAATTATTTTTCACCCATGATCTAATATCATAACATGAAATCTTGTAATTTATTAGTTTAAAGCCATCATAATAAATAAAATGGTAAAGTCTTGAAAATATTTTAGCTTTACACCACTGATGATTGAAAACCATATTTGTGGTTTTAAAAATTTTCATGTTATTTTGCATCAAAAATTCGGAAATATCAAAGCATATCAAAATTTAAAATGACTTTGAACTTTATACAATATATTTTAATTGTATTTGTCCCATAAATATTTATTACTATATTTAATAAATATTAATGTAATTTCTTCCATAATAATAATGGGATGTAAATAAATGTTTATTTATAAACGAATCACAAACAAAAACAAAATTTTGTATTAGTCTTGACTTATTAAACAAAGTATTTTAATAAAAAGAGCTAATTTTAAACCATCTTAGCAGCATATGTTGGAGATACCTTAGTTTTTCAAATTTCAAAACAATTTTAATGACTCAAACATTATAATTGTTCCTTTAATGAGTTTACAAATAAAACTATCAAATTTTTTATGCATCTTTTTTTTAAGATTTAGTTTACAAAAAATATTTACAAGCATCCAATTTAGAGAAAAATAGGTAGCATTTAGCTTTTTAAAACTCGAAAAAGATTTAGTTTGATATTTCAATGTTACATTTCTTTAGTGAATTCTCAAATGTCGCAGATCAAAATTTAGAACTAATGAAATAAAATAAATTCAAGCAGTAAATTAAATCATTTAATTCACAATTATAGAATTCGTACCAGAGTGCGTAATGATTTATTTTTACACGAGAGAAAAATAGTCTGTTGGATAAAAGCAACACAGTACTTTTGTAGACTTACAAAAATTCGCAATAGTAATTACTATCACCAGTTTTCAAAAAAAAACACATGGATCAATAAAATATAACTTTAAAGGTTAATGCTCAACTTTTTTTTCAAACAATTTTCAATGCTTTTTAACGTTAAGAAATCTGTTAAACAAAACCTCCATTATATATTTAAAACTCTAGATTTCTCTTACTACTTTGGTAAAAATGGTTAAAATTTTGCTTTCAATTATGAACACTCAGTGACATAAAAAAAATATAGCGCACTTTGAAAGAGTTATCAGAATGAAACAAAATTTAACATACGGAGTGCAACATTGATATAAATAAATGAATAAAAAAAAATCAAAACGAATATTTATTGGAGGAGGAATACGTATGAATGTAGGTTTTACTACTGTCTTGAACCACAGGAATTGCAGGAAAAGTTATTGTCGGGCATTAAGGCATTCTTTATGATGTCCTAACGGCATCTCGTTCAACAGTTGCTGTAAAAACACTGCTGAATCGACTAAACTCGGAGACTGCTCAACTTACCCAAATAGTCTCAGATTTGCTCATTCCGTGATAAATCTGGAGATCAAGGAGTAGGGGAGTAATGTTGCGGAGGCAGTCTTGTGACACCCTTGCTGTGTGTGACCGGGCACTGCACTGCTTGTTAAAAATGACTCCTGTTGTCACGAGTGGTAACACGGGTAGATTAAGGATATCACGAGCATACCGAATCACTAGATTGTCATGACGATGTAGATCGATATTGGGGTGATTGTGTATCGTATACGATGTTATCCCATATCATTAGACCAGATATAGAACGGTGTGATGTTGTGGGATTGGGGAATAAACACTCATGGGGTTTAAACACTCCTACACGATGGTCATCACTGTCGAAATTAAATCTGGTTTCATCACTGAAGACGAGCTGGTTCCATTTGGTTGCAATCCAATCCCGGCGAGAGCGACACTACTCGAATCAAAGACAGCGGTGGGTCTGTGTCAATCTTGTGGGCCATGTACAGTTACACACCGCTTCTACAGCTTCTGGTACGTGCTGGAAGGCAAGCAACACACCAACACCCCTAATATTGACCCATGGTGCCATAACAGTCCAGTGGTACTTTTGTGTCACCCTTCAACACATCTGGGCCATTAGGACATCAAGTTTGACAGCCTCCGAGTTTAGTCGAATTAGCAGCGTTTTTACTACAACTGTGGAATTAGATGCCGCGAGACATTATTAGGGATTTATGTGCATCAATGCCTGACTGAAAGCGCCCTGTTTTCACGTTAGCCCAAGAGTAATTTTCCCTGCAATTACTTATATCAACTTAGTGCTTACGTATGTAAAAAATTTGTTTCATTCTAATAACTCTTTCTAAGCGCGACAATTTTAATAGCAATGAATTAATATATATTTGAATTTCGGTTTGGTTTATGCGTATCTTAATAAAGCAAATTCACCATATTAAGGAGCGATAAGGTGTTATTTGAAATATTACTTTTGTAAATCTTAGATTATTGCACAATTGCTAAATCTGGATATCTATATGTGTAAAAGTTAAACACCATAGACCTAAAATTATTTTATTTCGTTACCAATTTAAAATGTACCTAACGGAATATTTTATTTAAATCTTACGCAAGGTCTTACTTAAATCTTACCATGGTTTTTATTACACAATTTATCTAAGGCTTCAAATCTCGTTGTTTAAATGATTACCGGTGACAAAGCAGGACAGAAAAAAATTATAATTTCCGTCAACACAGCTAGCCGGGAATCCGAAAAATTTATATTTTTGCTGCCCAAAAAATTCGCTTTTATTATGGACTATCCTTACATGTCTTATTTGATTAAAACTTACATCGAAGTTTTCATAAATACTTTAATTCTTTTTATCTTATAATAATTTGAGTCTTTAATAAATAATACTTTGAATTTATTGTTTTTTCTGACTTTTACAGCCTTACAGGCCGGACAGCAGTGACGAAATGGTGTATGCGGACTTGTATGATGATGTCAAAGCGGGAAAAATTCCCGATCCTAGAATGAAGCCTCCTCTGCCACCCAAGGGCATCGGAAAGAAGCCAAAAGAGCCTCCTTTGCCTCCTAAAACCAAAAAGGGAGGGTTCTTCGACTCCCTTGGAATCTGAGGAATCAATAAGCGATAGTGTTCAAAGTTGCACTTGAGATTTATTTGGAAAACAAAAAAATTGAGGAACTGGAATGGATGAGGCTGAAACTGGAATTCTTAAGCCAATTAAAAAAAAGAATATGATTTATCTGGATTGAGTTTTTTTTTTTTTTAATTTCCGGATGAGCTGAGACAGCATTTGTTAAACTGGCTCAAAAATTGAGCCAAGAAGACGGTTCTGGATATCGTCTTTTAATCTTAAAATAATCTGATTTCCTTTTTAATGTGTTTTTTTTTTCTTCAATTCTTAAGAAACCTAGGAAGAGTTTCGGATTTCGATTCCAGATTTGGTTTCCCTTTGGGTGGTGCAAAGGCTGGGCCTAATACAAAAAATCAGTGATATTATTTGTAGATCAAATAATGGAACATTCTTGTGATAAGGCAGTCTGCTACTGACCAATTTCTATTTACTGATTGATAACTTAACTACTAGCATCAGTTTTTGTAAAAAAATGGATTTAAGACAACAAAAGACGTTGGTCACTGATCGTCCAAGCTGTAAAAGAGTCCATTTTGAATTTGAATTCGAATTTTGGATATTTTAAAAGAATTATTAAGATTAAAAATAGAGGTTGAGTTAGAATTGCAATTTTTGATACACAATGATTTATTGAGATTATAACTTCAGTTCAAATCTTAACTCTAAATATAAAATGCTTATTGATATTAAATGGAACTATGAATTCCAACTCAAGATATTCGATGGTTTATTAAGATTAAAGATTTTTTAATTTCTTAAATGTTTACTATTGTTAGTTAAGTACACCGTTTATTATTTTTATAATAGTTTGAAGCAATTGATGGCGTAAATGAGTTCCTTCAACTTTTTTAACCAAAATTGTGTAACCAAAGTTTCATCCGAATATTCATGTTCCTTATGGACTCTTTTACAATCCGAACGGAGAAAACCTGGAAACATTTCACGAAACTCGCATGAAAGTGCTTCTTTTTTATTATTTAATTTTTTTTTGCCGTTATCAATAAAGATTGTGCATTTAAAGTGACTTTTACGGTGCGAGCATTTTTTTTTCTAGTTTTCGATCTCATAACTTTTGAAGAAGTTACTGAGATTTGTATATTGCTGCTCGCCAATTGTTGCCAACACTTTAATGAGGAGCTTATTAATTTAGCATGGAGAAATTCGTTGTCCGTTGTACATATCAGCTAGTGAAACTTTGCTTACAAAACACACGTAAATGAGTGACTGTACAATTAGTGACATGTTTCAATACCCTTGATCTAAAAATTTTATGAAATGGCACCAATATTTTAAAAATACTCATTTTTATAACGTATGAATAACCTTTTAGCTCACGCAGGACATGAACTTTGATAAATGATCCGCTAAAAAACACACTGATATATACATATATTATATTTAGTGCATTGATCTTTAATTTCCTTGCCAAACAGAGATGCAAAAAAAAAAATTGTTGAAAAGTTCGATCAGTATATGGTTAAACTTTTGATTACAGTTTATTTTTCCCATTATGTCATATAAAAAAATTAATATCTTTATTTATACTCTTTATAAATCGAATCGGTATATCAAGGTTACGGAATTACCCCACTCACTTACTATGGTTCTGGTAAATATCCTTTTTTCCCCACGCCCAAGTATTTGAGCTTGAAGCAGTCTGTTATGGGGTAAAAGTAATATTTATGGAAGCTGTTGTAACGGAGAGGGGGAAATGTGAAGAGATTTGAAATTGCATAATCTTGTGACACCTATGCTAATTGCAAAGAGTATAATTTTAATTATTTGTATGAATATTTTAGAATTAAATGATAACAGCATGGATAAAAATAATTTTTACTTGCTATCATTTAATTATATTTCATATGTACTTGCGTTAACTTTACCTTTACAAATAGTAAAAGGAAAATTAACATATACTTTTATTCAGCCACGAGACCTTAAAAAAAAGGTAGCTGGCTCACATTTTTTTTTTTTTTTTTGTAAAATATTAGATGAGCTATTCCATAACATGCTGGCTCATAGAAATATAATTAGACCCATGCTTATAATGTTTCAAAAACGCTTATTATCTTTTTTATTAATAATTCTAAAAATTATATATTTTTTAAAGAAAGAACAAATGAGGAAGGAAAACTTTACTCATTTGTTCTTTTTTCACTTTTATTTTAAAAATGACAGAAAAGTTGGAGAGATCACAAGTGTTATAATAAATTTTATTGTTACATGCAAAATGTTGATAAATCATGTTCGTGTTGAAAATTTATGGTACTTGAATCCGTTATTCTGTTTAGCCTCTTAATTTTAACTTTATTAGACATTTATGAAGTGTGGTGTTATTCATATTAAAAAAAAATTATTCTTTGAATAAGTATATGCCCGTTGCAATATTTAGTTTCAAATACCAGTATCTTTTCATTAAGATTGTGAAACTAAAACCTATTCACTAAAAATGTTCATTGATTTAAAAAAAAATATACCGATATATTCTTTTGGATCTAGTGCTCTATTAAATGTATAATTGTATTTATAATGAAATGTATGTTTACTAAGCATCTCTTACGATTTTTTGCATGATACTGTAACGTAAAAATGATACTATGATTATTTGTTTCACTTTAAAGAAGAGTTTATAACTAATGTAATTATATGCTGAAATATTTATAGCCATCTTGTAAAGAGAATAATTGACATTCGCAGTAAAATTGTATTTTCAAAAAAAAAAAATGCTACACCCACACTTTTATATGAAAAACATTTGCTGCGACAAGGCAAAATTTTAAAGAGCCTTATTTTGTACTCTATCCTTCTAGACCAACATATTAGAATATTTATTGTTCATATAACAAAGTTATACTTGAAAGTGTTGCTTTTGAATATTTCTCTATTTGAAATAATTTTATACTCACAATTATTTAAATCAAAAAATACACGAGATTCAATATTTATATCATTACTTAGAGTTAGTAGCTCAATTGAAGATTTTTTCTTCTTAAGAAAGTTGTTTCCTCAAGGTGAACGTAGATGCGATGAGGCAAATTTTATATTAAATGTAATAGACAGTTTATAACTATCATTTGGCAATTATAAAATTGCAGTTTTAATAGATATTCTGCTATTTTCAGCTTCGTAAAAATTTATATCTTTTAAAAATATTAAATAATGTCAATTGTTCTGATTAATAATAATTTTCAACTGAAATAAAAAAAAAAGCAAAAATTGTCCTTTTTTATGTCAAACAGATAAAAATAAAATGTAACTCGTATGTTATCTGATTTCATTTATAAATAATAATATTATTTCTTAGAGATGATTATTTTATGGGAATTTTTTTTTTAAAAGAATAGTTTATACTAATAGGAATTTATTTAGTGTTTTTACAGTTAGATCCTAACTGGAATTAGGTATGTCTTCCTTTATTCTTTGCTTTAGTCCAGGGGTCTTCAACCATTTCTAGCGGGATACTAGTGCTTCGTTGAATTGTGTCGTTCATTTTAAAACATTTGTTTACTAAGAAATTGAAAAAGACTGGGAAATGGAAATTGTTTCAGAGGAAATAATTACTGATGGTTATAAAAATAGCGATAAGCCAACTCCATTTAATGTTTCATTTAGACTGAAATGACAATAATTACAAAACAGATAAATTCAGGTAAACATATTAACCTAAGCCCTTAGGCTCATCCGCAGTCACATGATAGGCATCATTGCAATAGAATGCAAACAGCACATGAGAAGTAGCAGACTGAAACAGCCGGCACACCCTAGGCTCCAGCAAAACTACTTGCTGGCCACTGCACGGAAACACAAGCTTAGAACATTACAAACGTCAAAAAAACGTGAGCACCTCAAGAGTACAGCCTTGCCCTAGACGCTAAGATGACTTGAAGATGACAGTAACAAACAGCAGAGATCACGTCAACCCATGGAAGAATCTTCCATTTGAAAGCACCGAGTGCCTCGTACCAACAATTATTTACATAAAATCAATCAAAAATTTACAAAACGAAAACGTGGCACAGTTTTAATAATAATTTTTAAAAATTGACTGAGGGGTTAATTTAAAATAAATGGAAATACTTCACGTAATATAACTTCACATGTAGTCTGAAATGGTTAACTCCTTTTTGAGGCTCGTGAATTTTAAGGCTCCGAAATGACTTATATCTGCACTACTTCTCTTTATTATGTAGATAATTTTAGTAATTCAGTATAATTCGAAGAAAACCGCGCAGTTTATAATGGTGTACCTGCAAGTGACGTGACGTAGTGTAGGTATCTCGATCCTGATTGGTTGTTGAAACGTGCCATTTGCTTAGGTCAGCAACTGTTCTTTGTGTAAGCCACGCCCGGCAAGTATTTGGCAATTCTACATTCTTACACTAAGATTCTTTCGCAAAAATTTCAATTATTTATATTTCTTAACATAAAGACAGGCATGAAGTGATGCAGAATATAAACAAACTAGTTATGCCCCGAAGTTGCCAGGTACACAAACGAAAAATATGTCATGGTTTCAATAAAATACGTAAACAAATTATCAATCTAAGTTGAGTAGACGAGAAAGGATTACATTTCAATAAATTCAATGTGCGATACGGCACTGTATTCAACTAATTTCACGTTAATCAACATTCTAACTTATGCGGAGAAACTTAGCTCAACTTTAACCCGCCATTTTGCTTATAAGCGATCAGCTGGTGCATAGGTCACATGTGTGGGTATTGTGATCTTCTTCTTCTTCTTGAAGTGCAAGTACCCAATTATTACAAATTATACATATGACTTCTTTTACCATATAAACTAGCCTGTCCCGCAGTGGACTGATCGTTAAGACACGGTTCCCAGAAGATCACCGAAGTCAAGCATCACTGGCTGCGGTTGGGTGACCACTTGGATCAGTCCTCATTAAACTGTTCTACCGTAAAGTGCTCGACTTCGAGTGCAGGTCGTCGGGCTATCG